CTGCGCGTTTTATTACACTACACTCAACTGCCAATAAACTGGGCCACTTGCTACCACGAAACTCTGATTTGATTTTCTCAAAAAGTATAAAACTTACAACTATCAAAATTATAACTACAGAAAGTGCGTTTCGTGCTAATTAAAATGAACTAGTATTTATTGATATTAATCAATTAATTACATTTTTATTTTAAAAAGCCAAGGAAGAATCGTTTTCCAATTGTGGTATTCGGAAGAATTCGAATATAACTATGGAGAAAAACTAAGGAAATTATAAGAAGTATCAGACTATCTTCAAATTATAAAAAAAACTATAATCGCGACTTTACATTGCTGTTCTTACTCGTTTACAAAGAAAGTTGACAGTACTTTACAATAAATTTCTACTCATATTAATAATTTCGAAACACACTTTCTGCATATAGCTTTAATAGTTGTAAATTTTATACTTTGTAAAAAATTTAATTAAGTTCCAAGGTACTAGCGGTTGGCCCAGTTTATTTGCAGTGGAGTGTAGATTTTTGAAATTCTACTCCTGAGAGGCAAAAATGTGGATGAAAATCGTATTCCTTTGGTTAAAAGACATGAAACTTGGCACAAATACTATTTAACGTTTATCATTTTAACTTTTCCTAAACTACCCCCTAAAAATAATAAATAGCAAAGTCTAATATGATACATGAGCCATGAGGAAGTGTTAATGATAAGTCACCTTTTAAGCAAAACAAAAATTGCTCTAAGAGGTATCCCTGGCCTCTGACGACGAAGACGTTCGCCAGACATAGGTGGCTTTTGACATTAATGGAGTAGAGATTGACAACCGCCGGGTAGTTCCATATAATCCAGTTATTTCAAAACCTCGCAGATAAACTTACAAACCCAACAAAAACTACACTCCTTGCCATCTTTGAGTTGTGTCGTACTGATAATTTTGCAAAAACCCTATTATAATACCAAGTACTAAATAATATGTTTGGACTAATTCTACTATTTCTATGCTACTCCATGAAATTTGAGGCCCCACGTCATTTGAAACGTTAAAAGCAGTAAATGATTTAGTACACCCTACTTATCGGTCTTCTTGTAAGGCTTTAGGTTTGCTTGAAAACGATGACAACTGGTTGCAATTTTAGTGAGGCAGCATTGTGTCAATCATCACATATACTACGCGAGCTTTTTACTATCATGTTGGTGTTTTGCCAAGTGTCTGATCCATTAAGTCTGTCGAATGCATTTAAAGAATATCTTTCAAAAGATGTTAAATGACAAATCGAAATACAGGTAGATGGTGACATGACCATTTAACAAATTAAGTATTTGACAAATGTCTGATAGAAATAAAAGAAGTCTCTTTTAAGTTTAGGTTGGTTTTCCCTAAAAGAGTAAGGCTTACCAAATCCAGAATCTTAAACATTAGAAAATAGAGAATTTATTAAAGAAACTATATAATATACTATTAAAGGGTTAAGTCAGGAATAACTATGATTTATTAACAGAAGAACAAAAGTCATTACACGAACAAATAGTAAGAAGTGCGAATGAAAGTAAGGACCAAATTTTGTTTTTGGATGGTCAAGGAGGAACCGGCATAACCTATTAAATTTTATTTTGGGAAAAATTATGTTCACCCGTGACATTGCATTAGCTGTGGCTTCTTCAGGAATTGCTGCAACTCTTTTTGCAAAGCGGACATACTCTGCCTCAAAGTTGCCACTGAACCTAACTAATGGAAACTCCATTATGTAATATTACTTATTATAATATATTTTTATTTTATTTTTTTTTATTTATTTTAAAGTAAGGGCCAAATTTTCTTTTTGGTGGTCCAGAAGGAACCGGCAAAACCTATTAAATGTTATTTTGGGAAAAATTAAAGTCACCCGTGACATTGCGTTAGCTGTGGCTTCTTCGGGAATTGCTGCAACACTTTTTGCAAAGCGGACACACTCTGCCTTAAAGTTGCCACTGAACCTAACAAATGGAAACTCCTTTATGTAATATTACAAAACAGAGCAAATTTGCAGAAGTATGGAAAAAAACTTAAATTATTGTCAGGTATCAAAGTATTCCTTCCTATATAGTATATCAAAGCCTTCGATCAATAATTCTACAGATATCGGTTTGCATACAAAATCAAAGCTAAAAACTGTCCGCGTATGTTTAAACTTATGCAGCTACATTCGATTCCCAAGGAACAAAGATAAATGTTTTAAAACAGTTTAAGTTGAACCTAATAACAACTATTTCACAAAGGAATAAGGTTACAAATAACAAAATGTTATTTCGCACATACGAAATTTTATCTTATAAAACGAATTCTTGTTCCTTGTATAAATTATATCTGTTACTTGGAAAAAAAACTATAAGGTGAAAAAAGGAAAATGTGAAATCAACCTTATTACCCACAAAATAAAATATTTTTATTATTTTAGATTTAAACATCTAGCAGTTAAATGCTTAAAAAATAAAAACTTTAATATTTTTACCAGTCATTGGCCAACGAGTTACTTCGTTTTGTCTAAACCGAACTAATTTAAAATAATATCTCACGACTCAAGTGAGGCTATATTTACCGAGGCAGATTGTACGCTCTCACACCTTATCTATAGAATTGTTGATCGAAGACTATGGCCCATAAAAAAGATATAGAAGCTTTGAATAGAACTCTGCAAGACATACGCAGCAACATAAGTTTGATGGGTGATTTGACTGTATTGGAGACTTTCGTCAAACTACCAGTAGTTTTAACGGGAACACGTGCCGATGAGATAAAAGCTTGTCTTGAAAGATCATCATTGCGGTCCTCAGTGAAAATTTTAAAAATAACATAAAATATGAGATGTCCACCTTGGAGGTAATGTTTCCGCTAGCCGATTTTTTGGTCTTCTAAAATTGGGTAACGATGATTACCCAGAAGAAGATGGCATGATAATTGTCCCTTCCAATCTGTGCAATTCTACTGAATTTGACTGATTTTTGACTACTGAAACAACAGGTTGAAAACCTGATTTTAAAAAAAATATTCAGACGATGCGCTCATCTCATAAAAATCAATAAACGGGTTATGCAAAATAGCTATATGCTATGCTAAATAGCTATGCAGAATGCGGTTAGTTATAGGGGGTTGAAAATAGCCTGAACTGTTTCGAGAAAAGGATAGTACGGCCGTGCCGCCGTTTTTGTTCGACTTGGCGGGGGCACTGCCATGCCCCCAGATGTGTGCATTTCCGTGACGGTTTGGATGTACAATTTAACCCAGCAGGTGTCGTTGTGATTGAACAGGATAACATTTGTCGACTCTGCTAGTAGCTTTGCAATATGGTTTCTAATTTAAACCAACTAGTCCCCCAAACTAAAGTATAGTTGTCATCTTAACATTAGCTCTTTAAATCCTAACCGCAAATCACGTTCTAGGTCCCATCTTCTCACAAATAATCCTATCTACTTACAAATAATACAAGAAAAATTGACGTTTCCACTCTCGAATAAGTTGAAAAGTATTGCCTATTTGTAAAAACTTTATAGAATAAAGGTTGCATAGAATGGGTCAGTCTTATTTTTAGTAAAATATTTTTCATCCCCGAGCCGGGGTGTAGCGTCGCCTACCGAGCCCACTAGTCATCCTAAACCATACAGAGACCATCCAATCGAATACTCGGACACAATTTTATTTTGTCGGCGTTAAATTACTTTTTACCTGACGACTTGGGCCGCTAGGTGGCGCTGTAATCTGATAGGATTTCTTAACTTTTTAATTAACAGAACAAAACAATCTTTCGGGTCTAAAGGTCGTAGCATATATATTAACTCTGAAAGGGAGTATTCAGTATTCTTTGTATGAGACTACCTACTGCAATGCACACGCAGTAATCGGAATCATAACAATCTCGCTTGTCCCGAGGCGAGGACAGCACATTATTTATATATATAGCTTAAGATAAGCATTTGGTATGGAAGGGCGTGTGAGTGCAAATGTGCTTTGTATAGGTAGATACTTATAGAATGGGAAAATCTGGACGATTCCTGGAAGCAGGTGAGGGTAGAGAATTCTCAATGCATACCCTGCAATCAGCTGTGAAAATATTTCAAATTCATTGTAAGTCAACACCACCTAGAGTTTACCTCTGGTCTCGGAAGAACCTTATCAGCATTAATAGAAGCCTTTGAATATAAAACAATAATAAAACATGCAATGTTTTCACTGGCTTATTCAAAGAGTTAAGGCTCAGCAGATGATCTGCTAGAGAAGTATAGGAAAGTAATCCCTGGAACGACTCTAGCAACACTGTACTATTGAATGCTGTGAAAAATGTTGCCAGAGCTCCATAGGCATTCCCAGACTCGTTCTACAATTATATTAACGTTACTACTAAATCCAATCTGGTTGCTCAGTTCAATTTCAAGCTGGCGGGATGAAGTGACTGGAGGGGCATATTTCTCTGCTGCATCAGTGCGCTCTTAACGGACTCCTGAGGGGATGAGGTGTTGTATTTTTTAATTAATCCTTGTTGTACAAGTAAAAAAAATGGAAATAAAAAAATTGCTATAACATTTGAGGGGATATTTAAATTTTATTAATTTATAATATCCAGTATTTTAACATTTGTTCGTAATGATTGTTGCATAACATAACATATTATTACCTATATCATGTTACAATAATTGCATAAAATATCACAGTTTCATACCCTATTTTCATCTAAAAACAACTGGAACAGATAAGGACTCCATATTATGGTAGGTAATAAAAAGATATTAGGTTTATTTCACAAAATAAAAAAAGCTATTCTATACAGACAAATCATTTGAGATTAATTTAAAGAGATAATTCATCTGAATAATTATGGCATAATCTGACAATAATAACATTTGGTCTCCTACACCCTTATAGGTTGATTGGTAGGGAATACATTAAATCCGCAATTTACTGTTTTTATGGCAATTAAAAATAAATAAATAAATTCTTATAATTTTATTAAATACAAACTACAAATTATTTTGACCTATAATTAATCCCTTTATATTTTATCTGATGATCCTTCTGCAAGTAGTTCTCTTTCTGCAGCTGCTTTAGATGCCTGTATCTGAGGCCGGACATACTTATAATATTTGTAGAAATGATCACACAACAAAACCGTTCCATAAAGTGTCAAACCAACACAAATTAATACACCACCCCTATGAAGTTTATCATACAGCTGATTTCGAGCATACTTCTTCATGATTCCTACAATAAAAAGAACAGTAGTAACTGCTAAAGCATATTTACAGTACATAAACGATATTTAAGAGTTTCATGAAATACGCATTAAAACAATCAATATATTATGTAAGCTTACTGTAACACCATAAAATTGACGAAGTATCATAGTTTATATATATTAACCTTTGTTATAGTATTACCTCTTTTACTTTATACTTTCAGCAAAAAATAAAATTTTAACATTTCACTGTTTATAGGTTATGCGGGGGCACCACAACAGTGTTGCCAGGTCCGATTTTTAAAAATCGGGAGGCGTTACAGGTAAAAACAGTAGATGTATGGAAACTGCTAAAAGAAAAACAGTAGATGCAGGGGTGTACTTTTTCCTAAAAAAACAGGAGATTCATGTAGAAAAACAGTAGAACAGGAGAAATTTCAGAAAAACAGGAGATCTCCTGTAAAATCTTTTTTTTTTAAGGTTTATGGCCTTGAAGACAGACGTTAGATTACAGTAGGGATGCCCGATCCAAACGGTACATAAACATTGTTCTAGTATGTTTATAAAAAAATATGAGCCGTTACGGGTGGCTTTCCAATTATAGAGCATAATGCGACTCAGTGGCGCACAATGCCAAATTATGCTGATGCGATTGGAACGTGAATTAGTTTTCAAATGCACCAGCAGAGTGCGCTAAGTTCATTTTTTAACACAGTTTGAATTAACTTTGATTATTTAAAAAAAACAATAATAAAACGAAAGTTTTAATAATTTTTCAACAATAAATAATATTACTAACGATAACATATAAATAAAACATTTCGATCAATGCCAACTTAAAGAAAAAACACTTGTTAATTTTCTGTCTCTGAGTTGGTACGATTACACGCATCATATGAAAGCATTACTTTTGAGAGTGCTCGATTGTGCAAAGCGTTTCTGTAGTTGTAACACTCAACGTTAAGCATTATGCCGCATAATGCGCTATAATGCTGTAATTGGAAAGCTACCACGGAAAGCCTGACAGATGTGAAACATCGACATTATTTTGCAAAAGTAATATACAGAAAAGAACAGATTGCGATAGGAACTAACTAACACACCGTTCTCAATACTGCATATAGACTGTATATATATACCTGGTATATATATACCTAGTCAGGTCATAAATTCGGTCACATGTTTAATATAAAATAATTGAAACAAGTTTATTCATTATGTAATAATAATAATAATAACTTTATTTGGAACAAGTGTAATTTCAAAACTGCTTTAGTTTTACAAAAACTGTGTTGCAGAATTAACGCCCATTCCCGTATAATATGAAACAGTGTTCCTATCAATGTATAAAATTAATTAAAACAATCTGTATAGAGCGAAAATTAAAATGAGACAAAAATATCCACAATTTAAAACCCATCGAAGGTAATTTCAAAACAAAAAATATGTCCGAGTGCATTTTTATCAACAAACCAATACTAAATTTTACCAAAAATTGAAAATAAGGACTAAAATATAACATTTGAATTTTTATGCTCACATTAGAAGGTAGGTAAGTAAACACAGATAATACAAATCTATTAAAATTACAATATTAAACCTACCTGGACACTACAAACCAATAAATCATGATATAGAATAGTTAAATTCAATATAAGACACAATTTCGCACACATCGTACCAACATCACTGCAAAATAGTTAATTTAAAGCATACGAACATCATTATTTTATTTTGTTTATTAAATAGTAAAAACGTCCAGCAGTACCATACGCTGGCCATCAACTGAACTAACAAGTCATTTCGAGCGACTGATAAGCGCGACCAGGATCAGTGGTAGGAAAAGGGGCGGAGCAAGTCAGCAGGCGTGAATCGTTGTAGAAGAAACAAATAGATCTACATAGGGCGCGACTCCAGTTCATGAGCGACAAAAATGCTGTAACATGAGCGATAAACTCCATTATGAACTCTTTTGATAAGTAGAATTATTGTGTTTATATGTGAATTTAAGTTGTTTTTTCATTTATTTTTATAACCTGACAATAGAAAGAATTTATACCAATACTGGTGTCGATTCTAGCATGATTCTCTAAACCTAAACTTAAATTTGACAACAGTATATCCTTGTCATTCTCTATACAGAATGAAAAGGAGAGACTGATGTTAAATTTAGTTTTAAGTTTAGAGAATCACGCCAGAGTCGACATCACTATCTACTAATTCACATTTTTTTTTTAATGTCATTATTGTTAATTAAAGCTATTTTTTTTTAATATTTAAAGATTATATTTATGAATGAGTAAATGTGATTTAGGAATGTTCATTTTTATAAATTGTTAAATCAAATTGAAATTATTTTATTTTAAGATGATTATCACGTTAACGAGGTAATGTCTTTTACACATTCAAATTAGTTTTAACAATATATACTTTTTTTTTGGAATAGGTATTGTTTACTTGATAACAAACAGCACGCAAAGCTGCTTTAGCAGTATTTCGACGTTTAACAGTCTTATAATTAATTATTTATAAGTACCTCTGTTTCTGTATATGAAAGCCCCTTCAGCCAAACAGTGATCCGTAGTTTACATTCCTTAAAAGTAAGTGGATAAATATTTAATATTTTATTTACTTTATTGTATAAACGCGGAGAGAGGTAGTGAAAATGACGTTTTGCGAGCTCCAACCTACTATATTTATTTCTACAGACTATCCGATCTACGTTTGTTATGGAAATGGTCGGGGTTGAATGGAAGTTGGGAATGTTTGCGAAGTAAGACCAGCATGATGTTTGTATGTAACCATTTATATACCAAAATGAACTTACCAAAACATAGATTCTTATGACAATAAAGTTTATTCAAAATGACCTCCGTGATTTTGAATACAGGCCTTCAATCTGCGCGGCCAGTCGTCTGTCGCAGCACGAACGACGTCCATGTCAATATCGGCGGCTGCCTTAATCAAGGATGTCTTGAGTGACTCCAAATTGGGATGAGGCTTTGAGCACGCCTTTTCCTCCAAATGTTGCCATATCTTGTAATCTAACGAACTCCAATCTGGACTGGAGGAGGGCCAGTCTTCGTGCCGGATGAAGTCGCATTTCACGCGCCGCCAGCCAGTCTGTCTTGTGTGCTCTTCGCTCTTTGAGCTGGCGCCGAATCTTGTTGAAAAAAAGCGAGTGTGCTTAAGACCACACGACTGAAGTCAAACTTCTTTAGCTCCAATTAGTCTGGGGCTCCAATGATCTGAAAATCATAAACTTAACTTGAAGATTTGTTGATATAAAAATAACCACCGATTCGCGCTGGGTCCGTTATCACCCTCCTATCCGCACTGGGTCCATTATCACCCCCCAATCCGAACTGGGTCCGTTATCTCCCACCAATCCGCGCTGAATCCGTTATCATCCATCAATCCGAACTGGGTCCGTTATCCGTCCAGCCAGGCTTAAGATAGGATTCAAACCTGTACCTTCCATAATCCGGGTGGACGCACTAACTAATTATGCTACTGAAACTTTAATAGCCGTGTTGTTTTTTTTAAAGTTCTTACTATTATATATTTTTTGAAGTTATACTTCTTTAGGCGCGTTATGAAAAAATTATGAGAGTGAAATTTTAAGATGCGCGCGCATCACTGTAACACAAAATTTTAACAGCATGAAGTTGGTCGCTTTAGCGACCAACTTCATGCTGTTACTTTTGTGTTTACCGCACATTAAGAAAATCTACCAACAAAATAGTAATAGAATCTCTATTTAGTGGGTGCTAACGACTGGATTGTGAAGGCCTATCAAAAGTATTTATTAATCTGGAACAACGGAACCAAAGCGCGATTCAGGAGACTACAGCGCCATCTCTTGACCATTGGTGTAGTAGAACCAAAGACCACATCTTTATTTTTCAATGTTACTTTTATGTTATTATTGTAATAAAGTAACAGTTATAGGTATTCATATTTATCATATTTATCCACATGTTTCTAGTTTGTATATTCGGAATACGTGTCTGAGTTTCATACAAGTGCAAATCACATATGTTGTAATAAATTATATTCAGTAGCGATTTTAATTGAATATTTTGATTATTTATTTATTTTTCAAATTTAAACTGAACTTTATTGACTGTGTCCTTTTCCAGACTTTTTATTAATTTATTGTAATTAATTATTTGCATGCAATTAAAAACTAATTTTAAACGATGCCAAAGAAGGATAACTTCTCACGCGCCTACATAAGTACACGCACCCATTTTTTTATTTATTTTGCATTGTGGTCACAGTGCTGCAAAGTATGCAATAAAAAAATCATTCCATTTCAATTCAAATTCAGTTAGGGGCAGCACCATTTCTTTAAATTATTGTAGGTCACCCACAGTGTCAAACCAAAATTCTTTTACAAATATTAAACGTTTGAATGAAGAAATATCAGTTGTATTTGTACACTAACAATGTTCGTATAGCTACCGAGTTTGAATTTCGCGCGGGCCGTCGGCAGTAGATTTTTTCTAGAAGTAGTAAGAAATTTAAAAAAAAATCGACACGGCTATTAAAGTTTCAGTAGCATAATTAGTTAGTGCGTCCACCCGGATTATGGAAGGTGCAGGTTTGAATCCTATCTTAAGCCTGGCTGGACGGATAACGGACTCAGTGCGGATTGAAGGATGATAACTAATTCAGCGCGGATTGGTGGGAGATAACGGACCCAGTTCGGATTGGTGGGTGATAATGGACCCAGTGCTGATAGGAGGGTGATAACGGACCCAGCGCGGATTGATGGTTTTTTTTCTATCAAGAAATCTTCAAGTTAAGTTTATGATTTTCAGATCATTGGAGCCCCAGACTAATTGGAGCTAAAGAAGTTTGACTTCAGTCGAGTGGTCTTAAGCACACTCGCTTTTTTTGGAAATCAGTATTTTAATGGGTAACTATATATTTAGAAGTTGGTTATAATGGTGTCGATCCTGGCATGGTTCTCATAACCTAAACTTAAAATTGACAACAGGGTACCCTTGTCATTCTCTACACAGAATGAAAGGGAGAGACTGATGTTAAGTTTAGAGAATCCTGCCAAAATTGACACCAATATATCAGTATATTCTTGAAATGCTTTGGATTTTTCGTAAAATTTATTCTGGTCACACTGATAAATAGTCTGAAGGTCGGTCAGTGTTTGGCTTAAAAAAGACTAGAATCCAGAGCCGTAAAACATATTAATTAAAAAAAATCTGAGGTCGTCTGTGGTGTGGAGATCGGTGCCGATTAGAGTAATATTGTTCTGTGGTGCCGATCCGATGACATGACGTACCGAAACCTAATACGTAGTATCTTTACCTAGTCTGTGCTAATAAAGTACTCTGTGCCGAAACCGATCGGTGCCGATGTTTTTGCATTGTTTTCCCTTTTTTGCAGATTTTTGCAATTGCAAGCAAGAACACTTCAATTCTTAATCGGATTCAACAATTATGAATTATATATCCACCATAATTAGTTATAATAAACTTCAAATTATTAAATCAGCTGTTAGAAATTTGTGTTTAAAAAACTTATCGACACGCCAAGCACAACCTATAGATCACAAAGAAGAAAACGTTCGCGTTGATAAGAATACTCTGGCGCTTCTGGAGAGACTTTCACTGGTAAAATGTGATTCAACTGAAGGTCTAACAGTATTAGAAGACTCCATTGCATTTGCCAATAAAATTCTTCATATCAATACTGATAATGTTGACCCTTTGTATTCTGTATTAGAAAACGAGTAAGTTTTAGTAAAAGTTACTTTTTTGAGAACGAAATTCCTTAAAACTGTACTTCCAGGGCCCAAAAGGTGATACTTGATTTGCAATTTATTTTCTTACTATGGAGTCACTATGAGATGCCTATTAAATCTAACAAGTTATTTGTTCCTTAGGTTTTCACGCACACCACTCATTAAATAAAACAAGTTTCAACAGTATTGATCCACTGATTTATTTATTTATGTTGTTTTGCATTCTTTTGCATGAAAAGGAAATTACAAGTTACTTTAAACAGACACACTCAGGATAAAGTACCTATCTAGTTACCTATATGACCAAATGCACCATAGAAATATTTACCTATTTTGTTATTTTCTAAAAAAATTACACTTATTTATTATAGAAATGTGTACCTGCGAAATGATGTTGTCACACAAGGTGACTGTCAAAAGGATATTCTTAAAAATGCTGTGTTAAAAGAGGACGACTATTTTGTTGCACCACCTGGAAATATTCCTTTACAAGAAATCCAAATTGACAAAAAAGAACAAGAAACTAAATCATGAGGATGGAATTACAGAGACTTTTTTCTTTAACTAAATACTTTAGAGTTATTAAATCAATGGATCAAAGCATTACTTATAATTTAACAAAACCAAGTATATTATTGATGAATAATGTATACCTCAGCTGGCTTCAAACAATATATTTAAAAGTTCCAAAGAATGTGACTATGTTTACGAGAAGAACTTTTTATGACTCTAATAAGCATACTAGTTTCCCTGTTGCTTTTCTTGATAGCAATATCAAACAATATAATGAAACAACATTGTTGAAACAAAATCATAATAATTTGATACCAAATGATGCTGGTTGTCTCAATGTTCAAATAATGGTACCACAACATGATAGTTTACAATACTTTATTCAATGGCAACGTTATAGAAAATATTGGTGGAGTTCTGTGAGTAATTTATTTTTACCAAAATTCACAAGATATTTTGGTTTTAACATAATTGATATGTTTATTGGTGCTTTCAGATTACTACAACACCCAGCTTATTTGTTGTTGATGAAGTGAACTATGAACATGATACAACTCATGCCAATATAACAGCAAAATTTCCTTGGGGACAGCATAAAGTTGAGACAATCACATTGAGCACTAAAGAAGCTGTATGTTACTTGCAATTGAGATATTCATTTATGGCAGTTAGTGTTATTAGCGTTAAGTCTGCCTTTTGTCAAGTTCTGTAATGGTGGCAATAAAGTTTTAAATAATAAATAAATTGAATTTTATACTTTTGTAACTGCCAAGATAATGGAATCTTAGTATTGGTTTCAGATTAACAGTGTATCAACCATTACCTGTTCAACTTCTTTAGAAATAGCCTTATATATTATACTCCAAGATGGATTATGCAATAGTACAAAAGAAGAGTACCTTAGATTACATAGAAATATGGCACCTTTCAAAATAGCATTTGTATTAGATTATGAAGGTAAGAATAATATAACATAAAACCACTGGGTGAATATAACCTTACAGCTCATGCTCACATGACTGTTTTTCGAACACCACACATAACGCCAACACTAGCTACGATATCCCAAACTTTGACTAGGGCTGGTGTCATGATTGGCTTCATAGTATCCCATACAAGACTAACGACCAGATGTAGACCCGGTTTGAGCGAAAATCCATCAAATGGGCATGAGCCATTAGTAGCAGCAGTATGCTTGTTGTCTGGTTTTCCAAATAATGGACACCTAAAAGGTGCCAAAAATGTTGGTGCAATGCACTGAACTGATAATAATTTAGTTAATAAGTAATTTTATTACAATTTATAAGCAACTCAACACTTGATGCGTTTTTCATAAGTGATGGATGACTTCATTCCTACCATCCCAGCTCCACTTAGAATAATCCTTAGATATTTCTGTAGGTCTCGAGAAGTGTCTGTGGTGTAAATAGGTGATGCCTCTGCATTGTAGCAGGACGTGAATACTCATTTACTTCTCTATGCAGGCTCTGCATAGATGACAGACAGATGATGATCCAAAATACCTAAGTTAAAAAGGTCTCCTTGTCCTATGAAGATGCTCACAACATCTTTCAAAATGTTTCTGTAGCTTGCATAACTTACAATTTAGGGATCAACCTTTGGGTATGGCTTCCCAGGCTTGCCTGCAGCTCAGTCCAGTATTTGTCATGCTGGCATTGGCATTGATTCTATATCCAGCTTTCCAGCATTCTGTATAGAATGGGTATTTTTCCTTCTAGGCCATGTACAACCCTTTCTGATGAATGATAAACTTGCAAGGAGAGGTTCAAACACAAAGGCTGTTGGACCCGAACCCATTCCCTTCAATCAATTGAGAAGCTGGCTAAGGGACTACACACAAACAAGCGATCAAATGGTGGACCAGGGTGTAAGCAATCCAAGGAGGCTATACCATTCCTGGATGCAAAGCTGACCAAGCGCCTTTTGCGCCTGGACAGAAAGGGCCTGAGACTGGTAGGAAGGATCATCACTGGACACTGCTCACTGAAAAAACACTTTAACAATCCGGGCGAATGCACTGACCATTATGCTACCACGGCCCTATTCGCCGCGTCGAAATTTTCCTAGCCTTAAGCTGCAAGGCAGCGCCATCTCTTCGCATTGTAGGTAACCCACAATGTCAAATGAATACTTTTTCAAGTATTAAACATTTGAAAGAAGAAATAACAATTATAGTTATGTTTTTATTTAGTCCCGTCCGCTGCCTGGTCCGCGTGGATTTTTTTCTAGTAAACTTTTCTTTAGATTTAAAAATCTAGCAGTTAAATGTTAAATAAATAAAAACATAACACTTTAGGTATTACTGATTAACGGTGGTACATGTGCTCCTTGAGCGCACAGCACCTTAAGCGCAAGTTCGCCACCGCAACTCTGACAATGCCAACAGACTCCATCTAGAAGATCGTACTTCCCTAAGCCAATAGCTAACTTACATGATATTTACCTTTATTATTATCCTCTGAGAATAGTACTCCTACACACCTGTACCAGTACTTTAGAGCCATCTGTGTATACCTTTAGTACCATGTGTTTACTTTGATCCAGAGAGATTCTTGTAGAGTTGTATTATTGTGAAATACGTAGGTACTATTTCGGAATCAAGTCGTTTATCGCCATGAAGAAGAGGAATTCTTCCTGAATACATACCTTTTAATGTATTTGTCTCCACAAGTCCAGCACGTAAATCTTATGGACGCACATGCCGCCTCCTACTGTATGAGTAGATATCGTGGTCTTAGGTTTAGGATTGTCTCTAGGACCGAAGTCGGAGTGGTCTTCATGCAGCCTGTGATCGCCCAGCAGACATGCCCTTATAAAGACTTAAGTTTGTCTATGGCTATTGGCTACGTTGCCTTGGTCCACCATACTACCGCTACGTAGCTTATGGTGGGTCTAATTATTGACGTATATAGCAATTTTGTTAGGAGAGTTGTTTAGCCCATCATCATGCATGCTTAAAAGGGAAAGCAGAATCAAAGGTATCGCCTACTCCCATGTCTGAGTTCGAATTATGGTAGGAGCAAATGTATAATGATTCCTATTACGTCATTTCTATAACGTATATATTGTTTTAAATTAAAACATTGCTTTTTCAATTTAATGTAGAAATATAAAAAAGTATAAAGAAAAGTTTACTAGAAAAAAATCCACGCGGTCCAGGCAGCAGACGGGACTCGAACCCGCACCCTTCGCTATCCTGACCTTTATGCTACCGCGATCCTGACGGCCTTATCGAATTTTCTCCAGCCTTAGGCTGCAAGGCAGCGCCATCTCTTCGCATTATAGGTAACCCACAATGTCAAATGAATACTTTTACAAGTATTAAACATTTGAAAAAAGAAATAGCAATTATAGTTATGTTTTTATTTTTTTAGCATTTAACTGCTAGTGTTTAAAAGTTTACTAGAAAAAAAATCCGCGCGGAACTGGCAGCAGACGGGACTCGAACCCGCACCCTTCGCTATCCGGGCGAATGCACTGACCATTATGCTACCGCGGTCCTGACGGCCGTGTCGAATTTTCTCTAGCCTTAGGCTGCAAGGTAGCACCATCTCTTCGCATTGTAGGTAACCCACAACGCAAATGAATACAATTACAAGTATTAAAAACATTTGAAAGAAGAAATAGCAATTATAAATTATAGTTATGGATGTTTAAATTCGCTAAAGAGATGGCGCTGCCTTGCAGCCTAAGGCTAGCGAAAATTCGCTCTGTATACGTCGTTAATGTTGCGTGCCGCTTTGCTGCCACGACGGTGTTCATACTCCTAATCAATCGATTTTTAACGTATGCATGACGAAAAACGTATGTATCTACAAATGCGCGAAAAACAGAACAGTAACCATTAAACAAATGACTAATTTTCAAAAAAAAAATCTTGTTTTAAAAATATATATAATTTGAACTCAGTATTCTTAGCAGAAAAAGACAAAAACTTGAACTTGAAATTGCCAGTACGGCAGAACGGCAATTTCAAATGTATTATTTAAAGATTAATAAATCTCCTTAATAAACCATTTATATGTTACTTAGAGCAGTTATTACATCATTATGTATTTTTAACAGTTACCCTAGTATCCCATAACAAATGCCTTACAGTGCTTACTTTGGGGTTACGTTAATTGACGTGAGTGTTAGAAATATTTATTATTATACCTATCCTAATAGCACCATGTTTTTTTTTTCAGATGCTGTTAATAAAAAAAGATTGTGTGAACTAGCAAAACTAATATATTCTAAGCTGCATAAAAGGAATATATCATCATTTCTTCCTAACTTTACATTAACGGCTAAACAGCAAGTAATAATAAATATAGTACTAATATAACCCGCGCCAATAAAGCCGCGTCGCTCAGAGTTGCCAAACGTATGAGAACTCGTAACGTTTGAGATTAATCAGTCTCTATACATGATACGAAGTAAATAGAAATCTCGTACACTTTGTGATGGCATAATGAAGCTCTACTTTCTTTTGTGGACTGGACATTTATTTACTTTCTCATATAATTTTTGGTTTGTGTTCATGACACAAACAGTCAACATTGTTCAAATCTCATATCAAAGTGTGCGAGATTTCTATTTACCTCGTATCATGTATAGAGACTGTTAATCTCAAACGTTAAGAGTTCTCATACGTTTGGCGCGCCCGCGACAACACAGGCCGTCGGATAGCACCTTAAAATGGCGGTGCAAGTCTTTTTCTCTCTTGCATATTATTTCGGTCTTTAATCACACCACGTCGATACAACATACATAAAATCAGTTCATTAAATTTTGCCTTTACGCTAGCTTCCGTAAATAACACTTTTTATTATCGGTAACATAAATAACCGACCTTTTGGGTGGTGTTGTTTTTGTCGGTGAGTAAGGTTCCAAAGCTCCACGGGGTAGGGGTAGGTCAGGGTAGGCAACGGCGCGAGTGATATTTTTGGTATCAGAAGCGTCTGTAGGCTATGTTGGCATTAGGCGGGCAAAATCCTTGTTTGTTACCCTTTCAAAATAAAATAAGAAAAAAGTACAAATAGGTGCAAGTTGGGTTATCGCAGTCAAACATCTACCGACTGATTTAGAGCTCTATCCTGATTGATTTACGATTTCAATCGATTGTGTACGAACCATTACTCTCGATTTGCTTTAATGCCGCGGGTTATTCCATATTTATATAACAGTAGGTATGTATTACAACTGTTCAAATATTATTTGATCTTTATATTCCTTTTCAGATAATGGAAAACCTCCGTTTAGGAGTAACTTACGTGGCTATACTTTGTGATTCTACTTTGAATAATGGCATTATCCAACTGTTAAATAGCAGTACAATGTTAAAGGTACATAAATTTAATTTATAAGGAAAAATAATAGACTTAGGTACCTATAACTCCGTCTAAATATATTTTTTTCAAAGTTAATATTGTTTTTTTTTTACAGGAACAAGTGCATTTAGCTGATTTGGAGTCATATGCGAGCATTTTATGTAAATAATTAATAATAACAATGGTGTCAATTCTTGCAGACTTTTCTTAATTTAAAACTAAAATTAACATCAGACTCTTTTCTTTATTATGTTTAGAGGTACTCAAAGTTAACTTAAGGTTTAGAGAATCATGCCAGAATCGACACCAGTATGTATCCATAAATAGTAAATGTAAGCATTTTACTAAAATAAAGAATGATTTTCACTTCAAAATTTTTATTTATTTAGTTACTTATTGCAAGATGTTACAGTAGATTCTTAAAACTAAATTGTAAAAATAAAAGTTTGTTTGATCTACCAATTTCGATAGTGAATAATTGCAATATTACCAACATAAATTTCTTAAGTCATTCTAAATGGATATCATTCAAATGCACCAGCACATTTCACATTTATTATTAAATTAATAAACTAACAGATTAGCTTCGGAATTAATGGACAAATGAAAATTGTCCAGTATTTAATTCACCCAGTTGCCCATGTTTCAACTATACTTAAGAATTTAAAAATCTTGTATGTTTACAGGCTTTCCACTCAAACACCATCTACAATATAGTTGGTTGTCCACAATAAAAACATTCTAAAATACTTTTGCTTCAAAATAATAACTTGTAAGGGTACCTACCTACTGAAAACAATCAGTAATATTGAATCATTTTCGTTCTTCATCTTCATCTGATTTAGTACGGTGGATGACCACTTGCATATAGTATATGTTAATATTTAAAACTAAAATGTATGTCTGAAATTTTAGAAAAATAAATATTTATTCATATTTAAAATTGATGCTATTCAAGTAAATTAAATAATAGGTACTTTTAGAATCTGTGCGGAAAGAGAATGGGCGTGGCGAAAAACGGAACTAACATTATGATTTTTATTTGGCAATCAAACCCAGCAATCTGTAAAACGTCAAAGTTTTTTATTGATACGGATTTGTTTGTTGTCGTGATTTCTTGCAGTTTTTTGTATTTAATCATGTTTAAAAGGGGTAAAACCTTACAAATACGGTAGAAAAGCACTACAGTAACCTCCAATCTAAATCCCATTCTCTTTCCGCACAAACTCTAATAAAAAAACGGATGTGTAAAATCTTTGCATGATCCTTTTTAAATAATTTCTAGAGTATATAGAAGATTCTCATACTGCCCCGCACTACATTGCGGGGTGCGTGGCGACGGAGCCACGTGCGTGGTTGCCATACAGATATCGCAGTATATGTGTTTCTCTACATGTAGGCGGATCTACAATACCCCGTGAATGCGTTTTCTGTATGTTGCACACATGTTTCAATGAAAAGAGAGATACTTGCAAGCAACGTAAGAACGTGCAGTGTGCGAATCGCCTGTGCGATATTGTGGAATGGAAATGGATCCTTATTCATTAACTATATTAAAGTGAACTGTTGAAGCCACGAAGATATTCATAGTTGAAACATTTGTGGATAGTGAAAATTATTCTTTTAATATTACAGCATTTTCACTGTTTTAATATTTATTCTATTATTATTATTTGTTATTCATATTTTTTATTTTAGACATGGTTTATTATATTCGGATTTTTTTAAATAGAAGTTTCCGACTGTGACTACATATTTGGCGCAATAGACCCACAGGGTTGTTGGTGTTTGAGTGGATATAAAAAGTAAATTTTATACCTAGAATAAAGGAATAATAATTAATTTTATAAGCTATCTGACAATGTATGGAAGGAGCTTCAAATTAAGTAAACAACATCCCATACATTGTATGAAAAAGCATCATGATGACTGCACATAAACATGCACTATTTATTAATATATATTGTAATACTATTTAAGGTAGGTTTTTATATGGAAAAACAAGCATTAGTCTCATAACAATGTAACTAACTTTTTTTTTATAAAAACAAACATGGTCAAATTATCATGATTCTAAGTTTAACCTAAGTTTACAATAACATATGATAATAGTGAAATTAGTTATACAAAATGCATTCAAAAGATGGATTCTATTTTGAAATAAATATAGTACACATTTAGTTTCCTAATTCATCACATGCTCTCTGGTAGTGATCAACAATTCACAATTATTATACATACTATGGTTTTACAACCAATTCTTAGGTAAATTATTGGCTTCAACTCCATTGACATTTCTGAGTCAGATTTGTCATTACCTGTTACTGTAATGTTTATGCAGGCAGTTGTAGCTTCTTCCCTTTGAGAACTAAAACAAAAGAAAAAATTAGTTAAAAGTGCAGCACAGCCATGTTTGAATGCCATATTAATTTTATTATTGTATTTTACTTTATTGGTACCCCACACTGAGTCCCAGACAAAAACAGTGGTAAAATAGGGATGTCACTCTACTGTGTGTATAAGGTATCTGTCTCGAGCAACAGAATTTGGCTGGCGATAGTGTCAGAACACACCTACGATAACATCGATTTCTATCATGATTTTTTAAAGACAAATCAAGTATAAACCTAAAGAAAAAGTTTATATTTTAATATTAGTATTGTAAGCAGTTAAATGGTTACAATAGTACATTACGATACGCGTGACCTAAGTTGCCTATTACTGCACGGCGTGAAGTTAGCGCCTCGCTCCGCTCGGGCGCTAACTTCACGCCGTGCAGTAATAGACAACTTAGGTCACAACTTCACAAGTATCGTATACTATTTTATAGCAAGTGTGACATAAACCCGCCCCGGACGCGGGCAAGAGGGGGAGGTTCGGGGGGGCCGGAGGCCTCGGATTAATCGCAACCCACTAATCCTCCGGCCCCTCCGAGGGTTGCGATTAGTGTTTTGAAAGTAAAATTCATGTATTGCAATCACAAAGAATTGCAATACAGACTGCAAGTCAAACTCTGAAAAGAAAGAATTCCGGTTCAGATTACCATTTTGAAAGTATATTTCAAAAGGAAAAAATCAAATATCATTACAACAAAATAGAATTTCAATGTATCCATGAACGTTTATTCCTTGATTGGCATAGTAAAGTTAAGTTACGCGTATCATGATGTACTAATTCTACATGAGTGAAGTTGGTCAATTCATTTACACACCGTGCAGAAATAGGCAACTTAGGTCACGGAAAAGCGTGCGTAAAGTGCGGATTTAGGTCACACTGTGCTATAAAAATATATAAAAAAGCAAGTATATTGATATATTATACAACGTAAATTTTGAGTTACCTGTGATATTTTAAAATTGGATAATTTAAACAATAAACATACTAAACATCAATCACTAACAGCCTATCCTAGTCCACTGCTGGACATAGGCCTCTCCAATTGCACGTCATTCAGATCGATCTTGGGCTACTCGCATCCAGCTCCTGCCAGCCACCTTGCGCAAATCGTCACTCCATCGTGCCTGAGGACGTACTACACTACGTTTGCCTAGACGCGGTCTCCACTCCTGAACTCGTATACCTCGTTCTTCGGCAAATATGGCCAGTCCACTGCCACTTCAACTTGCTAATCCGGTGGGCTAACTCTGTTTCTCTGTCGGATTACCTCATTTCTGATGCGATCCTTCAGAGAAACGCCGTGCATAGCCCTTTTCATAGCGCGCTGAGCGACTTTGAACTTGTGGAACAGCCGTACCGTCAGTGTCCACGTCTCGGGTCCGTATGTCATCACAGGTAGGACGCACTAATTGAAGACTTTCGTCTTTAGGCACTGTGGGATCGACGATGTCAGGACTTGACGTAGCTTCACAAACGCTGCCCAACCTAGCTGAATTCTTCTATTCACCTCATCATCAAAGTTGTTTCTACCTAACTGCAAGGTCTGCCCGAGGTATAATATTTTTGAACTACTTCGAGAACGGCACCGTGTATTGCAATCGGTTCCGGTAAAACATGTTCATTGAACATGACCTTGGTTTTATCCAAGTTCATCCGTATGCCGATGCGTGTAGAAGAGTCAGCCAGGTAATTCAGCATTTTTTGTAGGTCCTGCAGGGTTTCTGCCATGATGAATTGATGACGATGTCGTCTGCATATCGCAAGTGAGAGATGCGTTCACCATTTATGTTGATGCCACGTCCTTTCCAGTTTAGCGTCTTGAACATATCCTCCATTGCATTAGTGAACAATTCCGGGGAAATAACATCCCCTTGTCTCACTCCACTATGCGAAGGTATGGGACTTGTTTGCTGATTCTGTACTTGGACAGACATAGAGGCCGCTGGGTGATTCCCTCCCCACTGTCTCATCCCACACCCTGCCTTTGCGCATCCATCCTGTATTAACATGCAGGTAAAATATTATGCCATTTTGTATTGGCAGAAGTTATCTGCAGATATATTTGTATACGCATATAATAATCTCACCATCTTTTCATATATGTCCGTGCCCACAGATACATACCAGTAAAATATAAATTATCTGTGCTGTGTGTGTTAGTTCATATGATTCATATAGAGAGCGATATTGAAAGATACAGTTATCTTACCATATCTACGTATTCTGTGAAAAACTATAAAGTTCCATTAATTGCACAATTATAGAGGTAACATGATACACTATTCCCAAAAAATAATTTAAAAATATATTATTTTTTATAACTTCAATCATTATCTGAATTCATTAATATATTATCTCAGGCAGCTCAAACTTTGCAGTGTACATTATCTGATTCATTTATAAATTTGACTTACCTTTTGTAATATACAAATAGAAGAAATCACAGTAAAGTATAGTCTGCACAACTCCAGCTACTATAGCTATGAGTTCATAGTGATCCTCAACGAAATAGCGATACACCTAAAATAAAATTTTGTTTAAAATAACAATAAATTATAAAATGGTAAAAGATGGACTACAAATTTGTTCCTAAAAGCCCATCTTTTGTATACCTTATATATGTCTTTCGTAAGAAATTTCAAGGTTATTTTTTAGTATTTCACTAACAATTTATGCAAACTTACCCAATTCAGAAGATAAAGGGCCCTATAGGAACCGAGAGCAAATAGGTAGTGGGAAGTGATGCTTTCAGCTTCTCCTGTTTTAGATACAAGAAATAGCTGCGGCAGAATTGCAACTGACTCCAAGTAAATTGAAAAGGTCCATAATACCTACAAAATGTAAAACCAGTCAGATTAAAAGTATAACAGCAACTATAATCTTGCAGGGCATATCAAAAGCAAAGTATTAATGCCAATCTACATACTGACCTCTAGTACTGTAAACTCGTGATTTATCAACAGCGCCAATATTAAAGCTGGCACCAATAAAAACTCAATCCTAAAGGTGTCATGGTTGTGATCATAAGTAGCTTTGAATTTCACATACATCAAATAAACAGTCGCATATGATGCCACGATGAACACCAATTTCATGACGGTGTTATATGCAGAAATGTATGTAGTCAGTAAGTCCAAATAACGAGTTGTATATACTATCGCAAATAGTATTTGCGACTTTCCAGATATACCTGAAAACACACATTCTTTAGTACCACAAACCTTACAGGCGATAACTTTGCATCGATATCACGCCGGCATCATAGTTGCGCTAAAAAACTGGCATTTCACCTGCACATGATCGCGTTTTCCAGATTTTAAGTAATAATATAATTATGGCTAGAAGGTGAGATAAATCTCCAAGTAAACGGAATATATTCATGGTGAAATTAATTTACAGGCCGCTATCAAAAGTTACGCCGCGTATACTTTTTGATTCAAAGCAAAAATGACGTGGCTGAATGACACATTTGACATATTGTTTTTATTTTAAGTTCTATAAATTTTCACCATTTGGAAAGCAAAAGGTATTAAACCCATACAGCTAAACCTGAGACCGTCTTATCTTTTATTAACTAAGCGCTAAAATTATTTGTTTCGTACTTACCAAATGGCGACAACAAGTCTTTCTTCTGGAAGGATTGGTTGTTTATGCCAATTGCACCAATTTTTTGTCAAACGGTTTTTAACTAAATCCATATCCATAAGTATATAATCTTTGATCATCAAATTTCATTTTTTTTTACAAATAAATGATGGTATTCTCCGAAACGTTTCCTTTCTCTATTTATAGGATTTTTTAAATACACATTTTCTAACAAAACCAAATCATCGTCCGATGAATCCGACATTTTGCTTCCTCTGCTGTAATCGGCTTCCTTATGTAGTAAGGATCGACGCCGATAAGCGCTGAGCTTTCTTTCTGTATACGGCCTTAATTGCTTTGATTATGGGCCGGGTCAGCCGTGTTACTTGATGATTATGGGCATAGAACAACGCGACCGGAGGGGAGTAGAAAGTAAAACGAAAGTAAACTAAGAAAGTAAATTAGTCATTGCAAATTATAATTTTAGAATTTACGTGTACCTATTTTATCCTTATTCAACCAGCAGCCCGCCTGTCAATGTCATTAGCACTAAGCAAGTAATCTATACTCTATAGTCATGATCATAAGTGCTACAGTGCACCTGTAAAAATTGTACCAAGACGTGACATCATGCGATTTTTCAAATCAATATAACTCTGTAATGTTTTGATTAAATGAAAAAAGAAAAAATTCATGTCTAATGCTTTTTGATAATCTACCTGAAAGAAATAAAGTAGGCTTGTTGAAAATATATCGATGTATCGATATATCGATATTTTTTGTTCGATATATCGATATTTTTAGCCGATATATTTTGATTCGATATATCGATACCTCTCGTCATATCGTATCAAAAACGATATTTTTTAATTATTAGCGGCATATCACGATCTAACTAAATTCGTATCTGGAAAAATCGTAACTGGATCTCAGATTAATGATATTCAACATATCTATGATCTGTGCTGTATTTAGTATTGTCTATGATTTGTAAATATGTTTCGCTGGTGAATTGGGTCGTGCTGAATTCCATTATATTCTGTGGAAGTGTGTGACTAGTGTTGTTTACTAAAGATGGCACCTGAGAGGCCCTGCAATCATTTTCATCATTCGAAAATAGGGTCTATTTTTAGGGAGATATTCGTTCAACTATTATTCCTCGTATCATCTTTCGTGAGATACTGTACTGTCATTTAGTGTAGCGGCAATTTGGTACTTTGATAATTCTTTCTTTAATTATAATTTGTATTGTTATTATTACTGTGCTAGGCTGACCTAAATATATTTTTGGGAAAATTGGTCCGATATATCGATGTTCTTTTCGCGGTATATCGAAGCCGATATTGATATTTTTTTAAATATCGATGTATCGATATATCGATATTTTTTTCAACTTTCGACATCCCTAAAATAAAGTGCGTCATCTCATTTCTAACATTTTTAACCGACTTATAAAAAGAAGATTCTCCATTCGTCAGATTTTTTTTCTGTTCCCTGATTATCAATTACCGAAGAAGCCTGGACCAATTCCAAAAATTATCTATTTTTGTTTTCGAATTGTATTTACTTACTAGGTGGTCCCATTGTCATCAGCTCAAGATTTGACAATGGGACCCTGGAACAATCTAGGAAATTCCTAAAAAAAATATTGGATGTTGTAAAAGACTTGTTATCCAACTTATATTGAACGTCAGTTGGAGAAATTTCACAGTTTTCTATAACAAAGGCTGAGGATTTTTACTTTAAAGATTTAAGCAAACAATAACAATTATTTTAAAAGTTTTTGTGGGTTTGCTTATATTAAGTGCTTTTATTTAAAATAAAAGTTATTGAGAAAGAAAAATCCGACTCACCCAAGCCCAGATTTTTCATTCAATATTTTCCCAATGGGGAAATCTGGCATCAGTGCAGCTATCTTGGTGTCTCTGGACACCGCAGTCACTAAACATCAGGTGAAAGGACTGGAGAAAGAAAAACTTCAATATGAATGAAAGATGATAATAATAAGGAATTTTTTTTTATTAACAAAAAATTACAATAATTCACTTCATCTTTTTCTGTTTAATCAAATAATTCCGAAAAGCAATTTGTTTGTCTTTGAATGACCTTTTGATTTTTCCTTTTACTTTATGCTTTACCATCTGATAATTTTTAGTCTTCTTTTTTTCTCTATTTGTTTTTGAGCAGTGAATATTCTTTCTTCTATCTTTATAGCCAAATTTATCTCTGTCTTCTCTTCCCTTCATAACCGTTTCTAATCTTGCATTTTTATCATGTTTCCTTTTCTTATGAATATTTTCAATGTCTGCAAGCCTTACTAATTCTCCTGATTCATTTGTTTCTTCTTCAATAATATTTCTCTTTCTTTTAGTGCCACTTATTTGCTTCTTAATTTGTGCTGCTTCTATTCTTTTAAAATCTTCATCAGTAAATATTTTGTCCATTGCAATTTCTCTAGCAGTGTTTATTTTTTCATCAATATCCTGACATTGGAACTTTCCTTTGCCTTTTAAAGTTTTACAATTACCTGCTTTACTACTACTACCATCAGGTATATCAGCAATTGTTATGTCAATCTTTTCATTAAGTTCTTCATCAGATTTTTCAATATTTTCTTCCTCAGAATCATCATCATCTTCAGTATCACTATCTGTTTCTGAAATATCTAATTCTGAATCTGATGATCCAACATCAACCCACTCATCACTATCAGAGTCATTTTTCTTGAATTTATTTTTACCCTTCACATTTTGCTTATTGATTACAATTTCTTTATCCAAAAGTACTTCTGAACCAGGAATATAGCTTGTTGTCTCCATCTCACCATACTTCTTTGTCTTGAGCTCAATCAATGCTTCCGTAGGCCTTCCTCTGTCTTTTTTGTGTAAAAGGTTAGGCATAGTTTGTCGGTACAGTTGTATAAGTGACCTGGCAGCCATCATCACAGACTTTTCTTTATAAGACTTGTATTGAACCAAATCCCTAAGTAGATCTTCATTAATTGCAAGTGGACAGCGCGCACATATTTCTCTAACTGCATTTAAACCTACAGCCATCACATCTGTAGAATTCCTCTCAGTGATGAAGTTGTTAGCAATAGCGTTCATAACTGGTTCTACAACTTCTGGAGGTACAAGTTCATGGGATGCCTGAGCAGCAAATTGAAGAATACGGGTAACTTCTCTTTGATGAGGCATAAGTAACCTTGCCAGAAAAGGATAAAAATTGAATAAAAACAGATTATGTAAGCCAATCAATCTAGAGATGACGTCAAGTGACATTAATTTTACTTCAAATCTTTCATTACATGATTCCATTTGCTTAAATAATTTCTCAGCAAAACCTTGTGGATTATTTATCAAATGTAAAGCTGAAAAATTAAAAGAAGGAGCTTTTTGCTTCTTCTTTTTGATCTTTTTGGCTATTTTCTTTACTTTGTCAACCATTTTTTCCCTTTTTCTTGTTTTCTTATTAAATTTATTTGAAATCATGGTGTCTCTTGGATCTATCTCATTATCACTATCAGAATCTTTTGATTCTTCCTCTTCATCTTTACCCAAAAAGAATTTGAGAGATGCTACCATAACCTTAGTCACCTTTGAAAAGCAACCAATATCACCTATGATATTTACAGTTTTATGATCATTCCAAATATTTTTTTGGTAAAGCTCAATCAGAATATCAATAGACAATTTTGCTACTTTTGCATCAGTGTCTCGCAACATAGAAAAAATAAAATTTTGCAGAGTTGCATTAAATTTCATGTCCTTCTGCTTCATATTTATGTTTTTTATGTCTGTGATGATATGTGTTTTTAAAAATTCTCTCAAATATTTATCTTGGCATTTTAGCAACAGGAAAAACAGCTCTATCAGATCAAATGGTGTTATATAATTTTTGTTTCTTAATAATATAAGGCATTTGCATAAAGCAAGTCGCATATCATTGTGTAAAATAGTATTATGAGTTTTTAAGACATCTACGATTTTTTGAGGAAATAATTTCATTTCGTTCGGGTAACATTTTGCAACTTGAGCCAAAAACATAGCCTGTTCATCGAGCTTCTTGTTATATAGAGCAGGATTTAAGTTGAATATCTCCAAGGTAGTTTCAAAATGTGCAAGCTGTTGATGAAATTCTTCTTTATATGATGCCGGATCCCTTTTGATCAAATTTTGCAACTGAGTTAAATTATTAGGTAATTGATTATTATGACGTACCATTTTGTTTTTGTTTGCTCACTCACATTAAAAAACTCGTGTTTATGAAATAAAAGCCCATTTTTATCCTAACCTAAAACTAAAAGACTTTATTTTTCTAACGTTCTTCCTTTTTAGGGAAAGCAAAGGGAACAATGCCCATACAACCTAGTCTTTTGTTACATAAATCTTCTTTTTTTTACATTAAAATGTCGGAGTGACGCAATTGTTTGACACTAAATGCATCACGTTGGCTTCTGTAAGGTAGTCAAAACTACAATAAAGTTCTCACGTCCACTTAACCGGAATAGCGTATATTTTAAAGATTCCAGTCATTCTTCAGTTGTGCAGACGATTGTAACACAAAATCACACCAATTTCAATTCCACTATATATATGAACGAATTTTATAGAATAATTAAAATAAGACACCAAACGCATTCGATGAAATCCCGCTAAAAACTCCAACTAAAAAACCCGGTAAAATTAAATTGAAACAGGCAGTATTGCCAGGTTTCAATTAAATTTTACCCTATACACGATGTCAGTGTACTCAAGATTTCGATACTATAAAAATTCCCTACATTTTTTCCGGTATCCAAAATCGCGGAAAAAAAATTGTATGTACTATTTGAGGGAAGAGTTATTGACTCAGAAAAGAGCCGTTCGACTACCCATGTATAATTTAAGCAACATTCACTGTGGTCACACATTTGATGGGTCACCAAAATATATCATTTTCTCAAGCTCTACCTCGCTGCAGGAGGCATGTTAGGCTTAACGTTCCGGTCCCAACGGCCCTGTACTTTAGAAACTTTTAAGAAGAATAAGAAAACGTCATCATTAAATGCATTTTTTACTCTAAAAAGGAACATTTCTAAAAAGGAGAATAATAAAAACAAAACTTATTACAAAATCTTTTCCATGTATGTATATATACATATAGACCTGTATATAAATAAAATAAATGTATATCCAGCAAACATTTGAATTGTAATAAAATATTTTAAACGAGTGTGAAGTGGATTTCGGATTCTTTTCAGGGCACCCGCGCTGGTAGTATCTATGGAGCGCGTGGTGAAATTGAAATGTTTTATAACATTTAACCTTGTTCATAATGTTCATAAAGAATGCTTACCTACGCACATTGATGTCGATTCTGGTATGATTCTCTAAAGCTAAACTTAAATTTGACAACAATGGTGTCGATTCTAGCATGATTTTCTAAACCTAAACTTAAATTTGACAACAGTGCATCCTTGTCATTCTCTGTACAGAATGAAAAGGAGAGACTGATGTTTAATTTAGTTTTAAGTTTAGAGAATCACGCCAGAATTGGCACCAGTGTATCTTTGTCATTCTCTATACAGAATGAAAACGACAGACTGATGTTAAATTTAGTTTTAAGTGTAGAGAATTTTGCCAGAAGCGACACCAGTATCTATATATATTTTTAATTATTGCTTAAAACGTAGCAAGTTACTGGGTAAAACAATAGGAATCATGTAAAATTATGAGTATTTTGGAAATATTATCGGAAGAGGCTCTTCTCCGAAATTTTTTACACTTTTATTTGCAGCTTTTATTTTACACCAAAAATACCCTAAGCATATTTTTTACTAATTAATATATTATATTTATTTAAGAAAATATCAAAGATTATTATTTTTACAATTAAGTAAATTATGTAACTAGTTTAAATATATAAATTTTAAAAACAAATTTCCTTAATCTACTTATAAATAACATCTTATTTACAGAATAAAAAAATAAGTCACCCCGCGCCGCCGTCAGGGATGGTGCCCAATAGGCAGCAGCATTGCCACGTTGAATGGCAAGGCTGATCCGTTGACCAAGATAGCTGCCAGCCTTTTGATCACCAGTAACTTCGGTGAGTCTCTTTGATATTTCCTTAAAAAAGGAACGAGCGCTTGGACCCCATGGGCCCATGGTCTCAATACCAAACGGCACAAAATATAGTTCTCATTGAAAGCTTAATAGCGTGGGTGTGGCACGGAGCAAGCGTATCCGCTGACTGCTGCTTCTTAAAAAGTATATTAATTTTGCGGAGAACGCGCAAAAGCGAATTAAATATAAAGCCATGTGCGGGTTAATTTTCAAAATTTTTTCTGAGAGATGCTGGAATTTAGAAATTTGTTTATTAATAAAAATAGGAATAGCATCATCAAAAATCAGGAAACCTAAGATACGGAGTGATTTATTATAAAGAATTTTGATATTAGGAGCTAAAGCCGAAAATTTTATGACCATATGTTGTAACTGTTCAGGTGAAAATTCTTATTCTGGAATAAATAGCTCACATTTTGAAAAATTTAAATCAAGGTCAATACTTTTGAATTTATCGATAATGACGTGAAAATCTGAGAGAACGGTTGAAATATCGCCAGCGATAGTTCCGTCGTCAAGGTACCATACTTTAAATTTAGAATTTAGCGAATCAATAATGGGTTGTACAGCCAAACTTAAAAATAGTGGGCCCAAGAGGATCGCCTTGCTGGCAGCCAACTGAAGAATACAAAAGGTTGTTTTTGAAAATTAATTTAGTAGGTTTGCTGTAACATTGCCAAAGATAGTTATAAATAGAAGGATTTTTTGTTGAATTACTGAAAGCAAGGCACCTCTATCTACGGAGTTGAAGGCGTCATGGCATCCACCTTCAGCACCACCTCCGCTGTGTCGAGTGACAGGAAGGTGCGAAGAGCGTGCATAGCTGCTTCACAACCTCTCTTGACGCGAAACCAAGCTGAACCGGTTGGAATTCAGCTGAAACTGTCGGTAAAATGTGTTGACAACAAATTTTGGATGCTAAACGGCGAAAGGTGGAGCCAACAGCTATTGTACTAATACCACCATCTCTTTTCTTTAAAGCAATTAAGTTGGCCCCACAAAAGATATCAGCAATATCTGGAGGAACTTCACCGGATAGCATAAAATTAACCAGAAGAGTGATATTACGTAATAAGACTCTGCCAGCGTCACCGACAGAAACGCAAAGAAGGTCTTTTAAATGTTGTGGAGAAAGCACATTTAGACCAATGGCAGAGCCACTTTTGAAAGAGAATATCGCAGCTAAAATTTGCTTATCTTTAGTTATGAAATGAGCATGTGTTGGATCAGGTGGCGTAGGTAGAAGCAGATTTGCTGCTGGAGGTGGGTGCTTGTCTTCAAGAGCACTAAGTGTCTCCTGGCAGTTGACGGCGACAACATCGTTACTGAATAGGAGGTTGGCAGCTCCTCGGAGATCACCATCGCTAATTTTAGATTCTATTAGTTTTACGGATTTATTAGAATTTGGAGGCCGAAAGGGAGAAATAACAAGAAAATAAACCGAAGGATTTAAGCGTCAGTTCTCCTTTATTTTTTTGCGTCATTTATTGGTTGGAAGAAGTTGGTTGCCCGAATTTGAAGATGGAGATACTGCTGGCACAGAGGCAGGGGATTTATAAACCCTGTATATTTAAGCCTCGGTTTCCTTTAAAACCGAGGTTGGGAGCACTTAGTACACTGAACTAGTTGCACATAGTCACTGCCGGGGATTGAATTTGCAGACATGTGAAAGAGATAGCGTCAAGACGCTAATAACACCAACCAAACAAAAAGGCATACAAAATAAACATGAACACTTAAAAAATAATCACAACATATAACAAACTACTTCTTGATGTCATTTTTATATTGATTCGGCACCTCACCCTCGGACGTCACCAGTCACCACACGTTCGTTGCTAGGCTGCCGGAACAACTTCGAGCCTCCTATCGGCTGAGTAATGGTGGGCGTCCTTGGAAACAGCCAACATCAACACACCATCAACAATGATAGATTTTTTTTAGTCTTATTTTATGTTTATAAAAGCCGGACATATAACATCATATATCTTGCCCACATGCAGGGACACGCATAAAAGTCTGAACTACAAATATACGGGGCACTTTTTTCAAATTGCTGTTGTAAATAATTTTAAATTATAATGAGACGAGACCTCATGTCAAATACATTGACACAGTCAATTTTTTTTTTTTTTTCTAAACTGAATAGTTTGCGTGAGAGACACTTCCAAAGTAAAAAAAAAAGATTTTTACTTAAAGAATTACATTGAACATTTGTATACCCTAAAATTTACCCCAGCAGTTAAATGTTACCCTAGGTTTAGGGTAAACTACCCTAAGTTGGCAACAGTGCACTGTCTTCTTCTTATTTTTCTTTTTTTATGACATGCACGGTTTGTGCGTTCAGCCAATGTCAAGTAAAAATTGAGGAAACAGTATAGGAAAAAAGGAATCGGAAATATTACGAAATTTGGAAAGGATCAGGATTGTAGAAATTATACATATTTACATTTAAAGATTTATATTATTGAGCAAAAGGAAAGATACAATACATTTATGCACCGATAGGTCATTTGTATGTAGAAGTGTAGCTGTATTGGTCGGGAATGGTATATGAAGTGATGATAAGTCATTAAAAGTAAGGATCTATGGAACAGAGGACAGGAAAACACAATGTGATCAACATTTCCCTCATCGAACCCACAGTCACACCTAGGATTATTTATTATATTGAGTTTGGCAAGATGGGAAGGCACAGACGAATGGCCCAGTCTCACTCTGTTAATCATGGACATCTCCGTCTTACCAAACTTCATATTGAAAAACCAAGGTTTAGAAGGAATGTCAGCCTGAATTGCAGCATAAAATTTACCTTTTCTTAGTTTACTATATTTCCACATTTGTTCCCATCCTTCACGCAATACAGATTTAGGAATAGCTAATAAATCTAAACAATAATTCTGGAACGGAAAAACATCGCCACATGAAACAGCATATCTTGCCAGTCTGTCAGCTAATTCATTTCCAGCTATGCCGATATGGGCAGGAATCCACGCAAATTCTATATGCTGACCATTTTTGATACATTCCTGTGTCATTTGTCTAATATTAAAAATTATAGGGGAATAATTTTTCAATTTAAATGGGAACTTTTCTAGTGATTGTAAGGCACTTTTTGAATCTGAAAATATTACAGCAGATTTAAGTTTCATGATTTTAATGTATTGAACGGCTTTAAAAATACCAAAACATTCTCTTGAATAAACCGATGATTCTGGAGGTAGTTTAACTTTCTGCACTATATTGAACTGAGAATGATAAACTCCTATCCCAACACACGTAGTCGATAAATGTTTAGAAGCATCGCAAAATATATGGTGGAAATAATTAAATACAGTATTAATAACATGAGAAAATTTTAATTTAGCATTCAAATAATGGGCCCAATTCTGGCGTGATTCTCTAAACTTAAAACTAAATTTAACATCAGTCTCTCCTTTTCATACTGTGTAGAGAATGACAGGGATGCACTGTTGTCAAATTTAAGTTTAGGTTTAGAGAATCATGCTAGAATCGACACCAATATTTGTCTACTAAATCATAATGCACGACAGGAGAATAAGTTAAAGCTTCAAACTGAACATTAAACATAGGAAGGAAATTAGAACTGTATGTGGGGGCAGAAAGTGAAGCAAATCTTTTATAACTAATTAAAAGACATGGTAGAGATTTATTGGCGCAATAACTAGAAGTTTGAGTTTTTAAGTTTTCATTTAGCCTTCCCAGAATGGGTAAAGCAATATAAAGAAAAACTTAGTTTTTGCACGGTTCCCAACTTAGGGGTTTTGCCCCCAGATTTAGGGGCTGGATGTGTTAAAACGGACTTTTTAGGAGCTGGAATTTTTTTGGGGGTTCTTTTAGGGGCTTTTAACAAAACTTACAATTAAATCGAGAAACAAAACGTGTGTTTTCTTTCAGTTTTGTGCGTAGAATGGAACGCATTACGATATGAAACGACTGAACTGACTGTGTGGCCTAATGCTGTATGGATTAAAGTTCTTTGCCTATCACCAATGGTTAAATAATAAAACAACAACATAACAATCATGTTCGTTCTTTCATGCGTTCACGTCATACTCACGGCTCACCATTCATTTTTGTCATTCATTCAATAAAATAATTTACTGTAACTAAATTTTTACTGTTTCTAAATTTTTACTGTAACCGAATTTATGAGCAACGAAAGAATTTAGGTAATAATGAAGTACATATAAAAATCTATATATAGGGGATTTTAGGCGAATTTGAAAAATACTTAGGGGAAATTTTCGGTAAGGGTTGGTAGCACTGAGTTTTTGGCGGGAATTCATCAAGTGCTGTTTGCGTCTTATTTTATTGTTGTAAAATTCGTTCATAGTGGATATTGATGTCGATTCTGGCATGATTCTCTAAAGCTAAACTTAAATTTGACAACAGTGCATCCTTGTCCTACTCTATACAGAATGAAAAGGTGAGACTGACCTTAAATTTAGTTTTAAGTTTAGAGAATCACGCCAGAATTGACACCATTGTGGAATAAAATTGGTGTGATTTTGTGTTACAACCGTCTGCGCAACTGAAGAATTAGTGGAATCTTTAAAATAGACGCTATTCTGGTCAAGTTGACGTAAGAACTTTATGTAGTCTTGACTACCTAACAGAAGCTTATCGAAAAGCCAACTCGATGTATTTCGTGCTAAACACTCCAAGAAACATTAGATTGCGTCACACCGACATTCTAATATAAAACAAAGAAGATTTATATAACAAAAAATTAGGCTGTATGGGCATTGTTCTCTTAACCTTCCCTTTTCCTAAAAAGGGAGAATCTTTAAAAAAACAAATGTAGCAAATAAAATTTACGTGTATCATCTAAATTAAAATTCAGTAAAAGTATTAGCACTTTAAACGAAAGCTATAATTTAATGAGAAATCTTGCTTATAAACATGTTAAAACCAAAAGCATTGACCCAAGTTCTAAGTCAAGCAAACACAGGGGGTGTTGAAAATACCTTGTAATAAGTTTGTTACTGTTTAGATTGTCACTTTTAATTTGAATTTCATAGTATTGTTTACGTGTTAGGACTATTTAATTTTGTTAATTAGCTTCTTCTCACAATATAGCTACAATTGATTAACTATTGTATCCACAAGAGAAATGATTTTCACAAAATCTGTAGAAATTTGGTCCAAACAATAATTTAGGGTAATTATATTCATTTTCAGGTTATTAAATCATCAAGGTGCATTATTAGCATATTCTGGCTACAATGACAAAGATGCAAGAGTAACAGCTGCAATAGCTAGCAATATTTGGGCAGCATATGAAAAACATGGCAGAAATGTGTTCAAAGAGGATAGGCTCCATTTGATATTGGTAGATTGCATGAATGGTAAAATTGCCATAACACAAGTTGCAAATTTGCTATTATGTCTTTATGCAAAAGAGACTGTTGGATTTGGAATACTAAAAGAAAAAATAAATGCTATAGCTCAATATTTGGAAGGGCCATTGAAACAAGTTGCTAGTTCTTAATAATAAGATAAGCTGTCATATTTATTGTATCAATTCAAAATTAATTAAATCTCTATTAAAAAGGACATGTTTACTCATCTCTGATTGATGTAAAGGATGGAGGTTTAAAATTGAAACATCAATTCACTTTTGAAGGTCATATTTCCCATAGTACTACACTCCTATTTGAAAAAAATCATAGTCACTTCACTATGGAGAATAGTACTCATTACATAATGATCATCATTATTTCATTCTAATTATACTCAACAAGCTGTCAGGGTCAGGATGGTTTATTTTTTTTACTATTTGCTGTCTTTATTTAAATAACTGCTGACTCTTGTTCAAACAATATATCGAGTCAACTCACCACCCACCGGGTGAGATCACACAATGTGTTATTTCCATTGCACATTCTCTACTATGTTGGAAGAAATCAGCTACAGAGACTTAATCACTGGTTCTACCATTAGTTTTTATAATTTATTGAACTTGGTGTATATCTGTACAATTTCTTATATATAAGTATAATATAAATAAAAAGGAAATATTATTGTAATTTATGTTTTTAACTACTTTGACATTTGAAGCTCACTACTGAGATGCTGTTTTGTATGAAAACAGCTCAAGACAAAATCAAACTCTAGAGTTTCTATTAATAAAGCCCTAAGACTACTAAGTACAATAATGAGCAGGGTCTGATCTAGAAATTATGCTGCTTCGGGGGTAAAGATAATTTTCGCCGCCCTTTACATACACCTACACCATTTATGATGAGTTTTGTTATGTTAGTTCGAATAAAACGTATGTCGAGTAACTTGTATTCTAGTTTCGAAAATCATTTGTACTTGTTGAAAGAGTTAGTTTCTTATATTCTACTTGGGTATTTCCTCTTCAAGATTAATTCAGATCATCGTCATCAGCTGATGCACGTCCCCTGCTGGACGTAGGCCTTCTCTAGGGATTTCCACACGCAACAGTCCTGCGATTTCCGCATCCTATGAGGCAGCCGGATTCGCTCGATGTCGTGATTCTACCTAGTGATCGGTCTACCATCACTACGCTTGCTCGTGCGAGGTCGTCATTGAACCGCCTTGGAACCACAACGTCCATCCCCATTGCCACTTCAACTTGGTGATTCGTTGCGCTATGTCGGTTATTCTAGTTCTTCGACGGATTTTCTTATTTCTGCTTCGATCACGTAGAAAAACACTGAGCATAGCTCTGGCCCTCACTTGCTGTGCTAGACTGTGACTCCTTGTCGCATTTCCGGCTGTGGATGCATAGGTCTCGTAGAATTATCGTTCAAACTCAGCACTTGCATGTAACGATAGTCGCAGTGAAACGGGCCTGGTCTGTTCTAGTGTTGTCACTTATCACCTTTTTGGAAGCAAAGTATCACCACGGTCCCTTGTGATGGCTTTGGCGTTATGCCTTCGTGAATAATGGAATTGAACAAATCTCTAATGATTTAAAACGTACTATTTTCCCGCCCGCTTTTAGGAGTACTGTTATGATTCTGTGATCCCTGGCCCTTTGTTGTTACTAAACTCGTATAGACTGACATCCGGGATATCTTCGGTATAGTGTCGGGTTAGTATGGTCTTTACTCTTTATCCAAATCATCGGCAGGTTTTGTTGATATGTATAACTATGGAGTTACACATTTCAACAAAACCCGTCGCTTGCTTCTATGGAGAAGATATTAACTGTCCTCAAAATCTTAGACCTTGACTACGGTTATCGGTCTTCAGCCACGTTAAAGAAGGAGTTCATGTAAAGAGGCCCTCTTTTTCCATGAAGTCAGGCAGCATTTAGCTCTTTAGGTTTCGCTGCCCATAACTAAATTTGCCCATGCTTTTGTGATTCGTTATGACAAAAATGAATGTATAAATCTAAAGAAAATATAACTAGAAAAAATTCCACGCGGATCAGCGAACAGACGGGACTCGAACTCGCATCCTTCGCAATTAATCATTTTAAAGAAGAAATAGCAATAATAGTTGTAATTTTTATTATTTTAAAGCATGTAACTGCTTGATGTTTAAATCTAAAGAAAATATAACTAGAAAAAATTAGAAGAGATGGCGCTGCCTTGCAGCTTAAGAATGGCTAGAAGAATTTCGACGCGGTCCGTGAGGGCCGCGGTAGCATAATTGGTCAGTGCATTCGCCCGGATTGCGAAGGGTGCAGTTTCGAGTCCCGTCTGCTGCCTGGTCCGCGTGGAATTTTTTCTAGTTATATTTTCTTTAGATTTAAACATCAAGCAGTTACATGCTTTAAAATAATAAAAATTACAACTATTATTGCTACTTCTTCTTGCGTAATAAGTAAACAAGTATTGTTTAATGACTTTTGCATCGTGACTGTTTTGTTTCACAATGCCGCGAACAAGACAAAGGGACGCCGAGGAAGAGCAAGACGTTCTCGTTGCTGACGCGACTAGAGTTGAGATGTCCAAGGATATGTTCACCAGCATGATGATGACTTTGCAACAGTCACAAAATGAATTTTGTAGACAACTTTTGAATGAAGTTCGGGCGTCGACGCCGCAACCCGCTGCTACTACGAGTGATACAATGTCAAGTGTGTTAGCCGTGCTCAATGGCGGCCATTATGCGCATTTCGCTCAGTGCACAGCGCGATTCAGCGGCAGCGAACCTGTAGAAAATTTCATCGATGCTATCGTCACGTACAAAGATTGTTGTAACATCACGGATGAGAGTGCCTTTCGTGGTTTGTCGATGTTACTAACCGACTCAGCTGCTTTGTGGTGGCAGGGAATAAAGCCATCCACCAATATCTGGTCAGAAGCACTGACAAATCTGACGAGTGCGTTCGGAGAGCACAAGCAGTACAGGATATACAAAGAAATTTTCAATGCTTGTCAAAGTAACGAAAATACAGATATTTTTGTGGCCAAAATAAGACCCTTGTTTTCTAAACTGCCGAGGGGTGATCTTTCGCAAAAAGTAGAGTTAGATATGACATTTGGCCTCCTAGACAGAAGAATAAGAAAACGCTTAGAGCGAGATGCCATCGTTAGTTTTGAAGAACTTTTGCGGAGGGCAAGAAATATAGAAGACTCGCTCAGAGAGCGAAACTCGAGTATGGATGCTAAGTCGTCGCAGCGCCTGCAAAAGTCGTCGTCACCGCTGCCGCCGCGGCCTAGTAAAACGCCGCCGTCGTCGGCGTCGTCTTCAATTACGGTGCCGAAAGAAATAGCTTCGAGTGCAGAGCCCGCGACTTCAAAGCGTATTTTCTGCGTATACTGTAAACGCGTAGGTCACAGTAAAGACAATTGTACTAAATTAAATGCTAGAAGTGATGGAGTGAAAAGTGACATAAAGTGTTATGGCTGTGGAGCCCCTAACATTATTAAATCAAAATGTGCTAAATGTAATCCACATAACGTTAAAAGTGCATTCTATTCCGTTTCGGCGTCACATAATGTTACGAATCGCACGCCAATGCCACGAGCGTGCCGGCGTGTGCAGGTGTCGCTGCCGCTGGAAACTTCTCAGCTACGGTCGCCGCAGCCGTTGCCGCCAGCTCCCGAGCGTAGCGCTTACGCTTGCGCTACGACCGCGCAGCGAACGACTGATAACTGTGATAACGTTTTTAGAGGTAACCCTGTGCGTGCCGCAGGGGATTTTAGTAATGTTTTTTTTAACAAATGTTGTTGTAGTAATAATTTTTGTTGTAATAAAACTGATTATCTGATAAGTGTTAAACCGTTTAGTAAAAATAATAAGGGGAAAAATAAAAGCTGTATATATAATCAGAATTGGAATGAAAATGATTTATTAATGATATAAATAGGGAATTTGACAATAATTTGAAAACTGTTGAAAATAGTAATTGTATAAATAATATTGTAAATAGTATGTGTAAAAATGTTGATTATCATAATTGTTACAATGATAGTAATAATATCGATTGTACATTTTATAGTCAATCAAATCAGATGTCTTGCACGTCATCTTTTCGTCGTCTTATTTTGAATATTATTATTTCCGGGAACCATGGCACCGCGTTAGTAGATTCAGCAGCCCGAAGATGCATCGCTGGTCACACGCTGCACGCCCTCCTGGAAAAGTTAGGTTATCCTTTAGTGCCGTCAACGCAAATTGTTAAATTGGCGGATGGGATTAGTAGGGAAATGTGTGTACTTACCACTGAAGTAGAGGTGACACTTCAACATAAAACAAAACGTGTTCCATTTTTAATTTTCCCTGATGCAGATAATAACGAAAGCCTGTTAGGTATAATTTTTTTAAAAAAGTTTAATTTAGTGTTTGATTTTGGTAATAACAGCTGTACTTCGCTGAAAATAGCCAGCAGAAGTTTGTGATGCGATTTGAGAAAGTGTCATCTCCGTCTTCATGTGCGGCTGTAGATTAGTGATGTGCCGGATCGTCAAAAATGTAGATCCGCGGATACGGATATGAATACAGATATTTGGTGTCAAGACCCGCAGATACGGATACGGATCTTAACTTTCTTACACAATCGGTGTCGGTGCGCGAGATCTTGAGTTGAGACATGTTTCGACTTGCAATGCGCGGCGGTTTTTTTTTGTTTTGTTTTAGTTTAATGTGACACTGGGCAGCATAGATAACGCTTGTTTGGTATTGGTACATGAGTTTAAAAAAAATTGATTGATTCAAAATTAAAAAAAGTGATTTTAGAACTTTTTATAATATTGATCTCATTAAAAAGCTAGTTGATTTAGTACCTTGTAGTCATATACTATTAGTATGATAACTATCTACGGCAAAGTTTGCAACATATAGGAGCCAAATAATTGAATTTAAGAAATAAAAGAATATCTGTATTGAATTTAATAGTTTTTTATTGCTACCTAAACACCTATTTAAGGCAAAGAGTAAGGCGCACTAGCGACGCCAATTGCTTTAAATTGTTAGCTACTAAACCAGATCTATTTCAAATAATTGTGTACCGTCAGAATCTCGGCAATTGGCGTCGCTAGTGCGCCTTACCCTGCACCTTAAAGAATTTTATCTATAAATTTAAAATTAATAAGGTAAATAGATCCGTAAAAGATCCCCCAAAAAGTAACGGATACGGATCTTTCTTCTGCTTCGGATATCCGCGGATACGAATACGGATACGGATATCTGGCACATCACTACTGTAGATGTACTTCGGGATGACGAGGCGACTTC